ATATATTTATATAATTAATAAAATGTTAGATTTATACATTTATAATTCTTTTATTAGAGTAAATTTTATTGAAACTAAAATTTGTATAACTATAGCATAAAATTTGTCGTTATATAAAATATAAACAATATTTCCTAGAGAAAACTCTTTAGAAACTAACAGAAAAATAACAAAAGAATAACATAATTTTCTTTTTCTTATAATTAAAATTTTAAGAATTTATTTTTCCATCTTTGGAGATTAAAAGATACTCAGCATCTTTTACATACAAATCATGTAATAATATTGCGAAATAAAAACTACTATTTTACATATAAACTATCTATCTATTCTTTTATGCGATTTCGCACGAAAATTTAGTGAACGCGGCATGGAAATTATTAAATGATGTTAACTTGATCGACAATGTCGGCAAATCGACACAGGAATGCAACCGAGCATGCACAATTCGAAATCATGTAATGTTCAATCATCTCTCGCATATACTGTCGGCCTCGTCTTATAAATTATTGTAGATTCTCGACTCTGTGGTTTATATCGTAGAAGGTCCTTCAGGCTGCTTGCTACGTTGGAGCACAACCTGACAAGTGGTGTCCTGACAAGCAGCCTGTTGCGTGACCCGAGCGATCAATATCTGTGCGAGCGCAACACCCGCTGCTCGTGTCTTCGTATAAACTGACGCGCCTCTCGTACGGCCGCACCACATTTCCTTTCCTCTCTGTTTAATCTTTTCGAGCTTGAAGAAGTTTACCGCTTCGTATTGCACGCTGGGCTGACATGAGCGAAATGGGCGAACACTCGATGAAAATTCTCATAAGAATTCAAGTTACAAAACTAGGTCGAAATTTGTAAAACGATCGTGCTTCGATTTTTTGAAAAATAAACGCATTTTCTCTTAAAGAGATATAAAGATCAAGAAAATTATATGGAGATATAAATGTTTGACGAAAGCTATCTTTCGAAATTAATGATGGCGCTCATTGTGCGTCATTTCGCTCGTTAACGTCATTTGTGAGGCAAACATACACAAAGAGAGATAATAGAGTGAATAGAAATGAGAATAATATTTTCTTTCTATTTTTTTTTACTAAATATGAAAGGATTAGGAAAACTGTAAACAAATGCAGTTTAGGTACATAATTTTCAAACATTTTTATAATTTATTTATTATATATTAAATCACACACACATACGCAACATATATAAAAGTATGATGTATTTACAAATATTATGCACTTTGAATATTTTAAGAAATATTCCTTTTTTAGATAGAGAGATTTATATAATATAGATTATGTTTACAAAAATACAAATCTTCCAATATCTTTGTTAAGTTGCATATAATCCGCTTTGTTAAGTTGCATATAATCCGTTAATGTATATAGTTATATTTAATTAAAATTTGTTCTTAATGTGTATGTGTGTATGTTCTATGTAATTTTAATTTTTGTATTATCATTTAATTAAATTGTATGCGTATGCAAACGTACGTATATGCGGGTGTAATAAATACGTACAAATTAAGAAATAAGTAGGAATAAATCAAGAATTTTCATTTGTTGATATGTTTTCGAATATACAGAATACTATATATACAAAAAGACATAACAAGCACATAAAAAACAATAAATATTCATTAATTTATATAGAAATATTTCAAAATTCATAACGATTATAAAAATGTTATAAATATTGTTGTATGGCTTTCGAGATTTATATTTATAAATTTTGATCTACATTATTTAAATGTCAGAAAGAGATGGCCAATGCTAAATGCATTTTGTGGATCACAATGTATATATTTAGCAGGTTTATTTGTCACATTTGTACCTTGTGCTCCGGTTTGCTATTCTATTTATAGTTTGACTCAAATGTCATCTGCAAAGACTGTCATTCAAGTGCCGAACGCAATCAATTTTATGATTTTTTTATTAATTTATATACAATTTCTATTTTAAAAATTTCTGTATCAAATATAAAAATCGAAGGTCAATATTAGATGTGAAATCTGAGTTTTAAACAGCAAATGGCAATATGGTTTTATTGGATATTAATTATTTAACAATACGAGTAGGCGATTCGGAATTAATCAAGAAACCTGGGAATGAAAGAATTGATAAGATCTTGATGTGCTCTATGTACAAAATGCATAAAATATTAAAATATATATATTTATTCCGTCTTGCGAAAATTGTTGTATTTATATTTATTCAGTGGGTTTGACACACACGCACGCATATATATACATTCTAGTCTCTCTCTCTCTCTAGTCTCTCTCTCTCTCTCTCTCTCTCTCTCTCTCTCTCCATTTCTCTCTTTCTCGCGAGAAAAAGCTATACTACGTCTATTCTATTGAGTTATCGAAAACCGAAATTATTCATTATCCGAGTTTTCGACGTAACT